CGTGCCAGGGAGGAGAGCGTTAGCAGGCCAGCCTGGGGATTGCCTGGCTGCTGCTTGCAGGGCAGGGGGTGTGTCTGGGTCTGAGTTCTCTGCCCAGGGAGACTCTGTTTGCTTAAAGGTGAAATTAAATGGAAGCAGGATATGGTCAGCATCTCCCACCTTAGCCTCCGATTTGGAGGATAAATTGGGGACAGGAGAAGAGGAGGTGGAAGTGCTAGGGACACTGAAAGGAAAAGGGTACAGCAGGATCATTGCTGGAAAGCCCTGCCTAGGAGCTGAGAGCTTGGCACCGTGGAAGAAGTGGCTCCAGAGGAAAAAGGAAGTGAGGTAAAAGGGCTGAAAGATACCCTCTCGTGCCCAACCTTTAATACAGAGGAAAGGAAAGGCCACGATTCAGCAGACCATGATTCAGCCTTATCATGACCTGGTGCAGGACACCCTGATAGAATATTCTGTCTTTGCACCGCTTGTGTTGGGAAGGACTCACACTCACACAAGAAATGGCGGAACTGCCCTCGGCCTGTCCCTAACGCAAGAGCACAGACGCAAGGACTCAGCAAAGCCACCGCCCATCCTTCTTCCGGCAGCGTGCGGAGGATCGGTCTCCGGCGGGCTGGGTCTCGATGAGATGAGAACGTCAGGACTCGGATGCGTGTCCACTCTGCACAGCAGCCGGGCAATCGCCAGGCTGGCCTGCTAACTTCCCATCCGGGTAACACACCTGGCTATCACTAACTGAGGCCCTTGATCTCAGGGACTAGAGGAAGGACAGGTGTCCCTGGCGGGAGCAGGCATGCAAGAAGCAATGTTTGACTTCCAGTTCGCCAGGCCTGACAGACTGTGTTTATGAAGAGTTAAGAAAAGAGAGATGGCTCCGCAGCCAAGAACCGTAAGTGAGGGGTGCTGTAGTTTTGGTGTCTTTGAAAACTCGGTTATGTTGTGCAAACATGTAAACAGGTGTAGGATACGGAGCTGCTTTAGACTCCACAGCAGCTTCCTGCCTCGTGTGGGCTCTGAGAAGCTGCAGATATTTAATTCTGAGACCTGTGAGAGGGCATAAATGCCAGAGCCCGGGGAGGGGGCGGGCTGGGAGGAAGAAGCGGCTGACGCTCCACTCTCCCCCTGCTGCTCCTGGCTGCTGTTGGTGAAATCTGATGAGAAGTTGGGGATCTCCTGAAATGAAGACTGGACTTGTCCCAAGGACCCAGTGACCCTAACCAGCAGGAAGTACCTGATGAGAACTCCGCCCCTTCCTCCCACTATCCTTTCTCTCCTACATGGTTTTAGGGTGTTGGAAGGGATTGAGGTGGAGAAGGGAAAAAAGAGATATAAGAAACCCCAACAAAATAAATACTTTAAAAAGAGTGCCTACAGGGTGCAGTAAAGAAATTGCCAAAATGGCCACTCCACTGGGGGAGGGTTATTGTGAACACAGGGGAAAGACCTCCCAGAGGCATCTGAAGAGCCCAGAGCAGAGAGAAAAGAAAGACTGGACATGGCCAGGGCTAGCTAGGGATGCGGGAGAGAAGGTCTGTGTAGCTGGGGGTAGATCTGGGGTGAGAAGGACCAGGAGTCTGACATGGGGTGGCTGACACGAACAACATGTCCTCCTGAGGAGACACGGGACGCCTGAGCCGGCGCGGGCTTTGGTATGCGAACAGGTACTCCAGGTGTATGTCAGGAGAGGGAACCTTCCTTCTGCTAGGGGAAGGGGAAGGACGCCTTTTGGAGGGTGGGAGCCTGTTTCACAGGCTGCTGGGGAATGCTTTTCTCGCCAGGAATGGCCTCTAGAAGCTGGTACACCGAGAACAGGGTGGCAAACACCCCCCCCCCCGCTGCATTTTCTATTCGGAGCACGCTTGGACAGGCGCCAAGAAACCACACAGAGCCCGTCTGTGGGGAGCCCTCTGCTCCCCCTTCCCACGAGGGAACTCCCCTGTCACCTCACTCAGGAGCTTTTGTCAAGGGGTAAATACTGTCTTGTTCCCTGACCTCAAAGACAAACAAACAAACAAAAAAAATCCCTAAGATTTTCTACATCAGAGCCGTTAACCAAAACATCTTCGTCTGTTTCTCCCAACTCTTCCTGAGGGTGGCCGTCATTGCTGACACCCTCCATCTAAGTTCTTGGTGAGGGTGACGGATGACTCATGAATCTGCCCCGGCAGCAGTGCCTGAAAGATCCATCACTACTATCGTAAATGCCAGTGACGCTGCCCAGCGAGGGCCTGGAGGCCGCTTAGAGCTTCCGGGTTGGGAGGGATGCGGAGACCACGAACAATCCCACAGCGCATGAGGTCCTCAGGGCGCGCAGGCTCGGGGCTCTGCCTCCCCGGAGCCGTTCATCGTGGTTGTGCTAAGCAGAGGGCCGAATTCCACGAAACCTGAGCTGTCTTGCTGTCCCTCCTGCACGGCTGCCAACAGAAAGGGGTCAGTCCCGGTCCCCCAGCGGCAAGTATGGCAAGATGTGTGTCAAGCTGACATTTCTAAGGATGAAAAAACTGACAGAAATCCCAGTGTTCCGCCAGTGGGCTTCTGGAAGGATTTAAAGCCTGAAGAACAGTCCAGAGGAGGCAATGGCCGAGAAACAGACTGGGCTTGCGTAGGGCGAGGGCAGCCATGTCCCCTCCGGAAGCTGGGTTCGTCCAGCCTGGAGCTATCGAAGCAGGCAGGCGTGGCTGAGAAAGGGACGACGGGAGTGCACGCAGCTACCAAGGTGCCGCCCGCGGGGCTGGCCGGTGGCCGCAGCAGCCAAAGACGCCAGTTCAAGGGGCAGGCACCCACATGGCTGCCACATGGCTGCCCTTACCCGGCCCTCAACAGACCCGTCCACAGTGGAGGGATGCGACGCAGCCCTGGCCCTAGAGCGGCGGTTCCCAGCCTTCCTCGTGCCACGGCCTGTCGGTAGAGTTCCTCCTGTGGTGAAACATTTTGTGGAAGCATAATAAAGTTATTATTGCTGTCACTTCTGCTGTTACGAACCAGAGTGTAAAAACCTGTGTTTCCGATGACCCCTGCCAAAGGGTCGTTTGACTGCCCCCAAAGGGGTCACGACCCATAGGTTGAGAACAGCTTCCGTGGAGGAGGCCGGCGGTTCCCCGGGAAAGGCTGTGGGGTGCGGACAGCTGGCTGCGGTCACTCTCCCACCCGGCCACTCTACCGAGCATTACTGTTTTGGGGACGTAACTGATAGGAGCAATAGAAATTTTCTCAGGCTCATTGCATCCTTAGAAACACCTCCGGTGCCGGCTCCTGCGATCAGCGGACACTTGGCCTGGAATGGACAGGGATGAGGCTGCAGAGCTGTGTGAAAAGGTTTCGTTAACCGAGTCTTTTAATGCTGATCTCCGAGTGTCTTAGGGAGAAAGACAAAACCAGTTAAAACAAAAGAAAACAATTTTCTAAAGGTCTCCTGGATGGATGGCAGCAGGCATGCCCCAAAGCCTGTTTATCTCAGTACCGGGGTGGGGCAGTGCCCTGTCAGCCTGAGTTAACCCCTGTCCGGGTGAGTAGGCATTTGCTCACATCTCCTCACATGTCACACAGCAACATGTGTGTGACGGGCAGTCTAGCTCCTAACCCAGCACGCTCTAACGCTGCTCTGGGTCAGGCCATCAGCCCCCAGAGCAGTAGGGACTTGGACCTCCAAAACTAGGAGCCAGCAAGAAATGTTTCACTTGTTACAGTAACGGAAGAGTTCACACACACAGACACACACACACACACACACATACACACACACACACACACACACACACACACTCTGAACAATCTTGTTGTTTCCACCTCCTCTGCAGATGGTTCAGGTTTTAGAGCAGCTTGGAGCCTGCGTCCTCTGCCCTTTTCCAGCTGTGGTGTCTGTTGGCCTGTGGTCAGACACATCTGTGCCTTCCAGGCACACACCCCCAGTGATCACGGTACGTCGATCTCTAGTGGGCACCTTCCCAGGCAAGACCCCCTCCCTCAAAGCCAAACTGTCTGCCTCTTCCTTGGATGCCTCTCACTCGTCACACCTCTGCCCTTCCCTTCTGCAGTGACCCCAGAGCCTTTGCACGGGCTGACCACCAACAGGAAAGCCTCTCCCCCCACCCCTTTAAAGAGATACATGCAATGCTTTTACCTTATAATTCGAGATTACTCACATATGCACGCAGCGCATTTGATCACACCTTCCCCCCCAGCTCTCCCTGACTTTCCCATCACCCCCTCCATGTCCCCTTCAACACCTCGCTGAGCCCAGTTAGTGCTGACCCCCCCACACACACACCGCGGGCTCCCCTGTGACGTCCTCTGGGCCTCTGAGGCTTTTCTCTCCACCCCAGCTCCTAGGCTCTCACACTATGTCTGATGTCTTTCCCAGCATTCAGCATCTAGATAAAATTCTAACATGCTGCATTTGAAGGTTCCCCCCTCCCCGCCCCGTGGCTGATTTTAGTAAGCGTGCAGTTAAAGCCGGAGTCTTGCCTGATGGAACTGCCAGCATCTAGTTGCCCTTACACAATGGTGGCCCTCAAAATTAGAAAAGGAAGGAAGGAAGGAAGGAAGGAAGGAAGGAGAAGAAAGAAAAGAAAAGAAAAGGAAAGAAAATGAAAGAAAAGGAAAGAAAAGAAAAGAAAAGAAAAGAAAAGAAAAGAAAAGAAAAGAAA